CTGTCAACTGGCAACATGTAAAATTTGCAAGTATGTTAAAACGTTTCTGTACTTAAACCTCAAAATTTATTTAGGCTGTAAGCAGCTGATGAGAAGCCAACGAAATAAATGATGGTACCATGTTATTCTGCACAAAGCACACTGTTGTTCTTGCTTTATTCAAATTCATCAAGGGGGATAAATGCATAATAATTTTCAACTTGAGATGGGAGTTAGAAGGTGTGAATATGGATTACAAGAGCCTTAGAAACACAAAAATTGCACAGGATTAAGATGTAATTGTAAAATGGTTATTTTAAACGAATTATAAATGTGAACAGGAAAAGCGTGGAAACAAACTTAAAATAATTGTTTTTATAACTGAAAAAATGGAGTGAATCAAATGAAGACTGAGGTAGTATGGATGAGACACACAGCTAACGAAAAAATGCTCAAAAAGAAAAGAGAGAACTAAAAAAGTAGAAGAAAAAACCGGAAGCTAAGGGAACATATCAAACTAGGTCCATGGTAGTTGCAGAGGTTGGACTAATTTATTTTTAACACATAGCTCCGGCTTTTAGACGCATATTGCGAGGGCTTCTGCAGTACAAAGAAGTCTGAAACACACTGACTGCCTTTGGTGGGTTTCTGTTGACTTTGTAAATCACTTTGAAAGAATCAGTTGAGATGTTGTGGGAGGTGTTGATCAGATGCTCAATAACGGCACTTCTGATTGAACCGGTGCCTCCTATTTGCAGCCACGCTGGGTAATGTTTTCTAACACGTTTTGAAAGGACACGCATACAACGTACTATGTACCTAGCTCCACACGAGCAGGTGAACTGGTATATGCACACTGAATTGGTCATATGCGAAGTATTGGACGGCTAGAGAATGTCACTCTTAGTGTTGCTGCAGGGAAGGTCTTCTTTAAAGAGCTAGATATTCTCCTCTTCAGAATATCAGCTGCCAAATCTCCCTTGAAATTCAGATTTAGATACAGCGTTTTCTTTGGTGCTGAATCGCATCCTTTTCTTTTTGGTTTAGGTTTCATGTTCTTTTCGACAGAACTTGTCGGGTAGCCATTTTGAGCCGGGATATTTTTGAGGAATAGGAGCTCCTCTTCCATGCAATCGCTGCTGCAGATTTTTCTAATGCGATGAGTTAGTGTGATGATGAGAGCTCGTTTTGGGCTCAAAGGTATCCAACTATAGAAATGCGTTAATTGGCCCTTCCATGTCGGTTTCCTATGGATGGAACTCTTCAGGGTTCCATCATCTCTTCTTGTTAATTCCACGTCCAGAAATGGAATCTTTAAATCATTTTCTGATTCCGTTGTGAATTCAATCGAAGGATGGGAATTATTAAATTATTGTAAGATGCAGATGTGGTTCGATTTATTGTAGCAGATTATAAAGGTATCGTCAACGTACCTTTTTTACAGTAGTAATTTGTTTATTGTTCCTTTTAAAACTCCACTCTTCAAAATGGCCATAAAGCAGTCTGCTGAAAGCGGGCCAAGAGGAGATCCCATTGCGATTCCGTCTTTCTGCCTGTAGATGTCGCCGCTGAAGGTGAATTGTACATTCAGTGTGCACCTCAGCAACAATTCCTTAAGATATGATAGTGGTACTCCAACGCTTATATTGGATTTCTCCATATAATTTCACAGGAAGCAAATTGTTTCTGTTATTGGCACATTGGTAAAGAGTGATTCGACATCTAGTGATAACATTCGTTTATCATTTACATTCAAATGCATTCAATGAAAATGAAATTTTTTGAAAATGAAATCGCTGAAAAGATATCTTTGCTGAACTTCGTGTTCTTTTCATCCTAATGTGATGAATTTTTCAAATAATTCAGATGCAAGAGGTGGGTGTTTAGGTGGCAAAAGCAGCAAGGAACTGTTCAGTTTCAGAACAGATCTTATCGAAATTCATATAGGTCGAGGAATCACTTACGAGGAAAAAGCAGACTACGGAACAATGGGTATCTATCTCACTTAGTTAGTGAGTCAGTTAGTTAGTTTGATAATTAAAGGTTAGTAAGTTAGTTCAAGATTAAGTACTCCGTGAATTTTTTATTAGGTCAAGGTCAGTTAGTCAGACATTTAGATAGTTAGTTAGTCAGTTAGTTAGCTGGTTAGTTAGTCCAAGGTTATTTTGTTAATCAGTTAGTGAGTTAGTTAGTTCGTCACGTCATGGTTAGTTGCTAATTTCAAGATTAGTTAGTTAGTGTGTTAGTGAATGACTTAGCTATTCAGGTATTCAGTTTCATCTTCGTTTAGTATTCATCGGCACTATGCCCCAGGCGTCACGTTCACCCTATCGAGAGTGAGGACAAATACTAGCTCCTATGATGCTGGCTAGCGCCAATCGTTCCAAGTTCACGAATTGGTTGAAATTAGAATTCATAGGTTGGTCACTGAGTCAGATCCCAGTGAATAAATGATCAACGGGCTTTTCTAGTAACATGGAGGTCCTACGTTCGAATTCCGGTGAGTGCGTTTCATACAGGAGTCCCAACCTAGTGGGACGAAACAGTTGTCCAGTACTCTCTGGAGTTAATCGATATTTTTCTAACTGATATAAATCTATAGTCCAACTTGAAACGTAGTAATTACCCCCAACATATTGATCAGGAAGTACATGGCCAAATAATAAGACCAATAATGGTAACATGGATGAAAAGTCCAAGGGAAAAGAATTTCAAACATCACCGTCGCTCTAATGCAAAGAGGGAAAATCTGAAAGCTTAAGTTCAACCCTTAACGAAGCAGAAATGAGAGTATCACTGAAACCCACAAATTCACTTAGGCACAATTTATTTTAGTTCACTAATGTAATTTAGTTAGCCAAATACCCTACATTGATTGTCAGGTGAAGTGCATAGGTGAAGGTAATAGGTTTTATCAGATTAGATAGGCACAATAAATGAATATAAGGCTACAGCTCAGCTATTTTTTAGATTTCTTATATTGTTAAGGTCATCTAACCTAGATTTTACTAGGTTCATGTGCTCCGCTAACCTAATTGACTCTGTCCTAGGCCATCGTGGTGGGACAGGATCAAATCAACTGAGAATACTTACAATAGGAATGGTTCAATACCTGTTCTGATCACCTGGAGAATTCTACTTTCCTTATGATAAATGAGGTAGATGAAAGAGAACTATAAAAGACGAGATTCACAGTTGTGTAGCTACAATTGATGATATGACTTTGAACAATAAATTATAGTTGAAACTTCATCATGCAGTAAATAAAAGTACTATTTCACTGTATGGTGATCTATCCAATAAATCATTTGATATGGAATTATTGCTTGCAATGAAATGCCCAAATTGTACACACACACACACACACACTGATGGTAATAATTCGTGTCGATTGGCAGGGATTTGATTGTTTACAAGTTTCATTATGAATTTATGTCTGGCAGAGAACCACTGAAAATCACTAGGGAGTAGTGACACTCTTCGGAGTATGCACCCACCGGAGTTCGAACCCATCACCTTCCTGCTCTTAGGCCAAGGCCTTTTGTAGACCATTCAGCCACTGAGATCCGATCAAATGGCCAATGAAATCTAACTTCTGCCAATTTGCGATGTGTATATAGCCCAGCTGCCATCTAGTGTCCTAGGCGAGTAACTGATATCTTACCTGACTTGATGGACTTCCTATTAGAATTTTGTATTTCCCGTTGACTGACTTGTTTTGGACCTGATTGCTTGGTTTCCCTATGATGTGTTGGACTGCAGGATGAAGATTTTGACGATGTCTAAGCAAGCAGGATGGTATTATTTCAGGTTTATTGTGGCTAGCAGTGGAAACCAACTTCGATTTGGATAGCGATCGCCACTGGTTGATGTGGGTACCATTCAACTACTCATAGCAGTAATACACGAAGTTTTATAGTGATTTTTATAATTAAGAAGCTCATGTCTGACGTTAGGAGTTATTCGGTAGGATGACCTTTGGAAATTGTACATCAGAAAGGTGCGGAACTCAGTAAAGCCCAGACTACTCAAAATAAATGAGTAGTAGGCTATAAAGATTATCATTAAAACATTAAACTTTGGAAGTTCCAAGGGTGAAATGAATGGCCTGTGCATCTTATGGACAACTCAACGGATAACCGCTACCTTATTTTGATAGTCAGGATTGTATATTTCAGTTACCCAGTGAGTTGCACTGGCTGGAATGAATCTTCCCGTGAGTTCTGTTATTCCAAAAGTGTTACTTTTGGATAGTAGTTACCACCATACTGTAAGTCACAGTATTTTAGGAATCTGAGTGTGAAATCCTACTCTTAGTGAATACGAATATAACGGTGGTGACATCTAGACCAGCTCTGTTGCCTTTCGGCTCTGCAGAGTAAGGTGGAGTCTAGAAACAGTTAACCTCGAAAACTGTTCACCCTGACTCCCCTCAAGGTGATCCATAACTGACGTCAGTACCTTAATATCAACTCTAACTTCAAGCACTTGTCTCCTGGGTTCTAAAGTCACTCAAACCTAAATTTTTAACTACCTCTAAAAATACTCGTCGATAAACTTTCCGACTTTTGCGCTGACTTATTCAAGTAGAACTAATACAATGAAAAATCCCTGAATGATGACAAAAGTGGTTGAGGATCACTAATTTTTGACCGAGCTGATCAACAGTGTACCGAAATACAGTCAACCTAGATAGCTTAATCAGTTCCAAAAGACAAGAAAAACGACCATAAGGTGTTCGGATTACTTCCACGTATCTAACAAGCACAACAGTCTGATTTGCGTGGTTACTAACTACTATTATCAGTTAGTCAGTAGTATATACCATCACAATACCTTACTTGCTTTCTTTTACTGTTATTTATGGGTATCAAGCACACCATTAAAGAACATTTGGGCTGAATAATTCTACATTTCCACAGAGAATCATGGTGAGTATTTACTCTGTACTAACACAACATTTCAGTTTCATTTCGGCTACTCCGACAATTAAATACGGCAAACAGCTGAACTGAACTTACCCCAGGTAATGTTTGTTTACCATGTAACGCGTCTTGACATTTTAGAGCTGATTGTCTGTGACAGAATGTAACGAAAGCACAGCCTACAAAAAGAAAACAGGGAAAACAATTCAGAGCAAGTGATAACTCATGAAATTTGAATTAGTAAAACAATATTTTAAAAAATAACGTTTCATTGGTGGATTATGGCGATTTGAATGATATTCGCTTTTCTGACATCAGTTAGATAGGCACTGAAAACTACCTGGCAATATTGGAAAGTCATAGGGACTCTTCATCAATATACATCCATGACCCAACAAAGGTGTGCGGAGACATACTCACTAGTGACATTTTCTAGCTATTGCTCCATACATATCACATATTGGCAGAAGTTAGAAACTATGGACTAACGATTGAATTCGAGCGCAATGGTGTGCTTCGTAACCTTGAAGCTGCTGGGTTCGAATCCCATTGGGTGAAGTCATGAATGCATATTCGTAAAGAGTCCCAATGACTAAGGCGAAACAGCTTTTCAATGCTCCCTAGTGATTTCAGACGACGTTCTAAATGAACTCAGTACGTGATGAAACTTAGAATTAATCATATGCTTGTTATGGGTCTATTGAAAATTAATTTAATACTCACTAGTGACTGACCACAAGACGAAGTTGCCTGATGTTTTGGTGAAAATTTATAATCATTAGGGTTCACCAAGTAGGTTGTGAAGAGAAATACTCGCTGATAATATTAGCTGGTGATTGAGCTATATTTCACCACAAAAAATTTGTAATCGTCAAAAAATGTTTTTAAAATGTCAGCCAATAAGGAACCAAGGGGAGAACCCATAGTAACCCCATCCATTTGGCTGTAATACTCCTAATTAAATACAAATTGGACGTTCATAGTGCATTTTATTAGTAATTCTTTCAATTTTCTTGGCGTGATCCCAATTTCTGTTTTCTTTTCTACGAGTTGCTCGCATATGTAGTCGACAGTTTCTACAAGGGGGATGCTGGTAAATAGTAATGTTACGTCCAACGATAACATAGTTCTGTCTGCTAGGTTCATATCTTTAATGTTTTCAACAAATTTAAAGACGTCTTTTGCACTATATTTAACTAACTGGCTATGATAGATTACCCAAAATGGCGACATCAATGTGTGTAAGTAAATTCAGTTGCTCCTGTGGAGCTAGTTATATATGTCGTACCCAGAGGAATTTATCTCTCCGCACTCGCGAACATATTCCTGTTTGGCTTGGGAAAAGAACAACCAAATCAATTAATAGTGCAATTCTGTCTCATCTAGTGGATAGCGAACACAGTATCAAAGTAGATGAGTCATTTACAGTTGCGTATCGGGTACCGAACAATCTCCTCAAAGGCACACGATTACACCTCCTAGCCATAGCTGAGGCTTTAGAGATTAATAGAGAAAGACCAGATCTATGTGTACAGAAAAAACTTATTCACTTTCTTTGTCTACCCTGGCCCACTATAAGGTCACCAGGATCATAATTTTTTCGTACTATTATTATTATTATTATCATTTTGTGATATCATGTCTTTATTATCCATTTCTCCATCCAGTTTATTTCACCTCATTGTTACCCTCATTTTGTCAACCTTTATGATTTTATACTAAACCTACCAATTCTGTAGCATTTTATTACAATTTAGAATTTAGCCGTTTTATTTTATTTTATCATTAGATATTATCGGTCAGCCCTCACATTCAGTGTCCTCTTTGTTAATGTGTGTTTGTATGTATTTTGTGGTTATCGCATTTCTCTCACCCCAATGACACTTGTATTCTGTTGACTATAAAACAACACTATATCACCCAATTGTTCATTCACACTTCATCACATTTTTCTGACTGTACACCCTATACACATTTAATTGACTATGCTAACTAATGGACTATCACCTCAACTTACACATGCACCCCAATACAGTTTCTGATATTATTTTCATTTGCCTTTATTGGCTGTGTGTACTCTATTATTCATCGATTTATAACTTTAGAGCCTGCAGAAGAGGTTGTCGAAAACAATTGTTCCCTCAAAATCTTGTTTTGATTTCAATATGGGGATTTTTCATTTACTTGGGGTGAATTGGTAAAACAAGAAAATTTGTGTTTTCGAAGAAAATAGTAGTAGTAGTAGTAGTGGCGTGGCGAGTGCTACTGATAAGATTTATTAGTAGCATATAAAGGGACGTTCATAGACGTACAAACACCAAATAGCAGGGAGACAGATTTGATTTCAGAGAAGGTGAACGATGCAGAGTTGTGCAGACTTCAAAAAGTACACAAAGAAACACAATATGGAGTCCAGAAGTACCACAACACGAAGATCTGTGAAAATGTTGCATTGAAGATAAGGTATACATAATTTGACTATATGGAGATACCAGTTTCCTAACAAACATTGCTTTAACAAGTCTTTCGGCTTCTACTGTTTCAGTGGTAACAGTAGTGGTAACAATGGAAAAGGCATTGGCATTTTAGGTAATGGGTGCTGAGTCCGAATCCCACTGGGAACACCATCACTTACTGGGGAGAAAACGCAGCCAGCTAGCAAGTCCTAAATAGGACGAAACAACACAACAAATATAAAAATGACTGATTATCTTCACCAGTTAGTGTCCCAGTCATTTTTTATTGGATCAGCTACTATGGGAAAAATTCTCAGGTGGTTAAGCCTTGTCTTAGTGTCCTCTTTTACTTATTTAGACACTATATTATTAGATGGTCGGGAACAGGTTTTATGCTTGTTGGCACCCACCAGCCAGTAAGGCGTATATCTGCAATCACTTCAAGGAGCTCATATGCTTTATGAGATTCATATACGTGTCGTCCAGTGCTGTATTCACAGATGTTACCACTCAGCTGTTCAGGCTAGCAAGTGACGACCTTATATGGAACTGTAATGGATACTTTGGTTAGACACTAGATAGTAGCTAGTGTCGTGCGTCTAGTCATTAGTGTTGGTGCAGACTGGTGTCATGACACTGGTGTCATGTGCCTAGTCCTTTGTTTAATGTAGACTGAACTTTATCACTTCAGTTTGCAATATGGTCTCCATGCTAGGTGGCTTACCATCATCAGGTGTACTCTGAACTGTTATTAGGTGACTGAAAGTAATAAATAGCACAGTGATAACATCTCGGACTGCAGCGTTGAGTGACATGGGTTCAAACCTTAGAACGGACATGAATTCCTTCAAGATTACGGATACGCCTTGTTGACTGGTGAGTGCCAACTAGCACGAAACCTAGGTCTAAGGCTTCCTGCTAATTACCTCTTAAAATGTGACAACAATTCACAATGTACCACAATGGAGAGTCACCTAGCACGGTGTGCATATTTCAAACTTAATTGGTAGAACTTATTCTGAGCTAAACAAAGCACTATATGCAAAAGACTAGTTACTACCATGTATCAAATCAAAATATACCACTGACTAATTGACATGAGTAGTTAAATACAACCTCTCATATTAACCAATAATGTTTCCTAACCATCCAGACCAGAGTTTTGGGTCGAGCCAATCAGTAGTTTACCCAATATGACTTGATTTACAGATCCGAATAGGTTCAACCCACCTGAATTCTGATGAATTTGATTTATGGAGAAACTATTTATTGGTTGTTGTTTTTCTGAATGACAAAGCTTTTTTGTGAAATATTTTATTGGCTTACCACTAAATTGATGATTAAAGCAATATCGGATATGTTAACCGGATGTAAATAGTTAGCGAAAAATATCAGATGAATAACTTGTTCAACTGAACAATGTGGTAAAAATGATTGTACTCCATAAATAGATGAACATATTTCTCTGCTTCTATTTCGTTTTCTATCTAATGAGCATGTTCATTTGTCTGTTGACGGAAGAGTGATTGCACGAACCGATATACATGAGTAGGGACGGACACTCACACACACACACGCATAGTATTGAAATAATGTGTGTTTATGCTTTTGCCAACAGAATATAAAATTAGAAAACTTTGATAAGCAGTTCTCTTTAGAAGATAAGCTCTCCCTTCCGCCAGCCTTCATGTGCATCTATCAGTTCACTTGTTGTTGTAGAGTATGCTACACTGGGTCTTAGTCAGGCAGTGCTTTCCACACAGATACGACAGTACATATCAGAACGACTTTAGAAGGAAGAAAGAAAGGGTGTGATCAAGTGCATTTGAAGACACATGATCAACTTATGTCACTCTACCAATCACGACTGCCTATCAAATTCTTGTTAACTTGTCACGTTCTCTTCATAACAAACTTCGGAAGACAAAAGAGGCCATGGTCATTCATGAATTCATACAAGAGAGGGAGATACAGTTCCTGTTTCTACCTTCGCTGTGGGAGGATAAACATTTGCTTATTTTCATTTTGTTCATTTAGTTAAACTACGTAACTCCCACTCATCAATACGATTATTATTATTATTATTCTCACCTTGAACAATTTCCAGCCTTATTTCACTTGTCCAGTTCACTTTTTTAAATCAATCAATACACTTTATTTGCAGTATTAAATTCTACTCATCAAATTTCAAATCATGTTATGCAAAGTTCATTATTAGCCTACTAGTCATATAACTTCGCAGCTCCTCCCAACATCTATGCATTCTGTGAACTATTCTATAACATGACATCCCATTTGTTTTATAGTTTGATGATGAACTTTGATTATAATCATAAATGCTTTAAGTTTGATCATGGATTGATGTTAGTTAGGGTAGCATTTAAAACAACAGTGTACTGGACACCAGTTTCATCCTTGTTTGGTACTCATCGGCAATACACCCACGGCGTCGGGTCCGGCTGGTCAGGGAACAGGACGAATTGTCTCTCCGAAGATACCGACTGATGTCAGTCTCTCTAAAATAACGAATTCGTAAAAGTTAGAATTTATGGAGTAGCCACTGAGTTGGGTCCCAATGGCTGAATGGTCAGCTAGCTTTCCTGTTAACTGGTAGGTCCTAGGTACGAATTCCGGTGGGTGCGTGTCGTAGGTGAGTCCTAAAGTAGTGGGACGAAACGGTTGTGAAATACACCCTTGGGTTTTCTGGTGTTTCTGTTACTGAT